CTGTCAACGCTAAATAATGACATTGCTTTTAAGTATCGAACTGAGAAAGTGACTCGGATAAGACGAACGTGTGGTGAAATAGACAAATGAAATTATATAAAAAAGTTAAATCGGTAATCTACTGTCATAACATATAAAAAGCTCGTGCCTGTGAAATATCAAAACATTAGAAAAATAGCTCACACCAAAGCCTTCACCAAATATTCCCCGGACAACCCGCTTACAAGCTGCGCGAACCTATTTCACTGTGCATGTGCTATGAGCGCAGCCCATGCTGTTGAAACCACTTTTCTCCCAAGCGCTGGGGGAAAATTAGTGAATCGTTTGAACTCCGATTTCGCGCGTTTTTTTTCATCGCGTTATTTTTCAACTTTATAAGTTGAATTTGCATTTTTGATGATTTGTTTCGGTAAGTCCATACCGAAAGGTATCAGAATCTGCAAAGTTGTGTTTTACGTTGCATGTGACCTTTAAGTAAGTTGATTGGGTTCCAGTTAAGTGACGTACAAAGATTGAATCAGGGATTAACCAAATGATTGGAAGCCAGATGAATGTTTGCATAATAGATGTGACTGATGTACAGAGCTTGAAAACATGTTAAGTAAGGTTGTTTGAAGGCAGAATCAGATAATGTACACAAGAAATATTAATTATGAATTATTGATATCAGTTATAATTGCATATGGTTACTTAAGCAAGTGATAGTAGGCATTAGGCATGCAGTACCTTCATCTCTGTATCTTCTTAATGTGCACCCTTTACAAAACTTCACGAGTTTTGTAGTCTGACGGGTTCCTTTCTATGTTCCTTGTGGGGCGGTGGGGTAGCCTAGTGGTTAAAGCGTTCGCTCGTTCGCTGAAGACACGGGTTCGATTCCCCACATGGGTACAATGTGTGAAGCCGATTTCTGGTGTTCCCCGCCGTGATATTGCTGGAATATTGCTAAAAGCGGCATAAAACCAAACTCAACCACTCTGTGTTCCTTGTATATCCATTAGATTATCTTCATTCTTCATCACCTCTTCTCCTAAAATGCCCATCAAGGAAGAGAAGATTTTTGTCAACTTTCCCATCACTGCTCAACGTTAAGTTGAGGTGAGGTGAGGTGAAATTGGATTTAACGTCGTGCTTGAGAATATTTCGCTCATATGACGACGTGCATGCGTGTGTGTGTATGTGCGACTGCTTGTACCAGCCCAGACTGAAGCTGGTTTTATAGTGCTAGCCCACTGAGATACCATGCCGTAGTGAAGCATAGATACCCCACTCAGACACATTATACTGACTCCGAGCCGACCAGTCCTTGTTGTACCATTAATGCCGAGCGCCAGGCAGGGACCAACAAGTACCATATTTTAACGTCTTTTGGTATGACGCGGTCGGGGATCGAACCCGCGACCTTCCGCTCTCCGGGCGGACGCTCTAACCACTACACCACGGAGGCGGTCCTCAACGTTAAAGGGCAGTTGAGTAGACGACAGTTAAATGTATTCCTTACATTTTGTCGTTCTCAAAATGAATGCATATGTGACATTTCTCGTGAGGTGAATGAATCAGTGGAACGGAATAAGTTGTTTGACACTTTCTGACGATATCACATAAACGTTACACCTAAATTTCAACTTAGATTTCGGGGCGGTAAGGTAGCCATGTGGTTACAGCGTTCGCTCATCTCGCCTAAGACCCGGGTTCGATTCCCCACATGGGTACAATGTGTTAAGCCTATTTCTGGTGTCGCCCGCCGTGATATTGCTGAAATATTGCGAAAAATCATACTCACTCACTCAACTCTGATCTCCCTGTCAAGATGTTACTAATTCAAGAATGAATGTGCTCAAAGAAACACATCAGAAAGGACAGCACAATTCGTACCCATGTCGTAGCCAATTTGTTGCCTCCATGTCATCCGTCTATTTCACCCAGATGTTATCAGTGAGTGTCAAGCATTACTTTTATTGATTTTTCCAAAAACTTAAGATGGGATTTGTATTTACTTTTGACAAGTCGTTCCGATAGAGATGTAAATATATGTGTATGATTATCACGTTTAAATGTAAATTCCGCATGGATCAAGGTAGGAGATTTTCCCTAACATTTGTTGTGTGGGATAGTTGTGTACACGGTTGAAAAGTCAAAGCTGTGGCAAATGCTACTTGGCTAATTTCTTTGGTTGCTGATTCAAGCAAATGCTTTGCTTCAGAGACTATGTGAATGTGAAAAAGGTTCTTCCTTCAATGTCTCGACGATTGTGAATAATATTTGAGAGAGTTACTTAGGGCTATACTCAGCAAACTATCTCATATTGCAGGGACAGATTGAAAGTGTCCTGCGTGTAAAGTTGTATCGCTATTTTATGTGTAAAAGATACTTATTTTGCATACCCACATTGCATACCTACTTGCACTCTGTTATTTCCAGGAATAGGTTCCTAACAACTCAGGGAGAGTGGGGTAGCCTACATTCTCTTCCCACAGAGGTTACTCCTGTCATATCTTCCTACGTAGGAAGATATGACAGGAGTAACCTCTGTGGGGAGAGAATGGGTAGCCTAGTGGTTAACGCGTTCGTGAGTGCGACGTTAAACCAGTCAAACAAAACATGCTTAAACTGTCTGACACAGCTAAATACTATCCATAGACGTCATGCACACGTCACCATCACCATCATCATCATCATCATCATCATCATCATCATCATCATCATCATCATCATCATCATCATCCTTTTTATTACCATAAGTTTACAAATTCATGCAAAGCATCATGGGGGGTATTTTTCAAAAATATATCACTTTTAGGCTATGACTTGAAACAAATCCAGCAATTATGTACAGATAAACTAATCATGTCATGCTGACAGACATTATAATGGAAATAAATTTACATAGATTTCTTAATTGCTTCATATTATGAGTTTCATATCATTTTATAATAGTTAGGGTTGTTTACATAATAATTCTTTAAATACATATTTCTGGAAGCAGTAAATTTATTACATTGAAATAAACAATGAAACTCATCTCCGAGTTGGGAGGGACATGACGGACAGAATCGTTTATTTGAGGGAATATTTTCCCAGCGACCTGTTTCAATAGGTAATTTATGGCTGGCGGTTTTAAATTTGATTAAAATATTACAGTCCTTTGTTCCTAATTTACGTTCCAGTAAAGAGATATCATAATGAGATTTAATACATTCATAGATAACAGCTTTAGAGGAAGATGTTATGGGGTTGTTAAGCAATTTAAGCGATTGATCTCAGATTCTAAGTTGGACAGCATTTTTGAACCAAGAAAAGGAAACTATATCTTGAGAGTGCCATATATTGGACATACCAATATCATCTAATATGGTTTTAATGTAATTGAGCCAGTTACAGTTGTGGTTGTATTTCATTGAGTTTGTTAATGATATTTGATATAATGCTGTTAACGTAGAATCACATTTTCCGGATACTATTTTAGACCAAAAACACAACATGCGCAGTTTGATTTTATCAATAAGAGGTTCACTCCGATGACCCGGGTTCGACCATGTGTGAAGCCCATTTCTGGTGTCCCCCGCCATGATATTGCTGTGATATTGCTAAAAGATGTGTAAACCACACTCATTCACTCGCTCACTAACTAATAACTCGTGATGAGGTCAGGTGCCCATTGACTGTCGTGCACCTAAGAACGTTATACGCCGCTCATTACATACCTGCACCCTCGCATGTATCTTCATGCAATCTGCATTTTGATAATGTTCAAAATTGTATTGAGTATTAAACGGAAGAAGAGGCGATTATTCAAGTTATATTTTGTCATATTCGAACCTATTCAATGGTGTTATTATCTAGCACAGTATGATGTCAGTCTAAGTAAACTTAGGCTCAGTATTATTCGTTACACTGCTATACTGAGTCTAACAAAACCTTGTGGAAGGTCGCGTCAGGTAACCTTTGAGCGACCTATGACCGTCCAATCAAACGCGAGACGGCCGAACGGATTTAACCAATCAGACAACGGCTACTATTTAGGGTTTGGCGGGACTTACAAAATGGATTTTCTCTTCCCCGGTCGCCAACACTGATCTCATAACAAATGAAAACCAGCATAAAAAACACAGATATATGACATGCAGAATATACGCTTTTGAGTTTCTGTTGACATGGCTATCATTTGCTAATATTTCCGCAAGCTGACATCCTTGAATACTGACAAAACGCTATTCTCAGCGACTGTTTACTCACTGCTGTGGCGTGCTCCATGTGCATCACTCGGAAGCAATCGTACGGAAAATAGCATTCGGAATCGTTCGGGTAAAAAATCAAAAGGTATGTGCGAATGTCAACTTTCGCGATTTGGTAAGCTGTGTTCTGATTGGTCCATTGAAAAGGTTACCTGACGCGACCTTCCACAAGGTTTTGTTAGACTCAGTATAGCAGTGTAACGAATTATACTGAGCCTAAGTTTACTTAGACTGAGTATGATGTCATCTGTGATAGTTTAACTTGTCATCTAGATTTGAAAAACTGCAGCTCATTCATAAACAAATGGTTACACTGTGGTGAGCTCGAGCTACATTGCTCAGGGCTTGTACCCATTTCGTAACCCGTGAAGATCCGGGTTAGAATTGGTCTTCAGAAACCCATGCTTGTCGTAAGAGGCGACTAACGGGATCGGCTGGTCAGGCTCCTTGACTTGGTTGACACATGTCGTCGGTTCCCCACTGGTCATGATGTTGACCACTGGGTTGTCTGGTCCAGGCTCGATTATTTACAGACGGCAGTCATATAGCTGGAAAATTGCTGAGTGCGGCGTAAAACTAAACTCAGTCATTTTGTATGCTGTGGGCGGCGGGGTACCTAGTGGTTAAAGCGTTCTCGCGTCACCCGGCTTCGATTCCAAACATTGGTACAACATGTGAAGCCTATTTCTGGTGTACCCCGCCGTTGTATTGCTGAAATAATTGGCGTAAAACAAAACTCACTCACTTGTATATTTTATATATTTTCAGCTCCCTGTCTTAAGATTGGAGGAACATGCATGCTCGTAGAGATGTGTAAAGATGGCGGCATTGTGGCGGGTTTGTGTTTCGGACCCCGAAGCAGGATGTGCTGCTTAGCTTCAACTCCCTGAGTCGACGGCTTCAGTGAATGTGTGACAGGGATCTGTCTCTTCCCTGCGTCACCTGTAATCCTGACTGATTAAACAGATGGATTATTTCCCGTGTTGTCTTCAATCCATGTTGTCGCACATTTTTGTCAGTATAGCCCAGATTTTATGAGCGCATCAGCGTGAGTGAGTGAGTTTCTTTACTTGGTTATGTTTATCACTAGTACTACCACACCAAAGATCAGTCACAAACGCTATTACCACAGCCTTAATTTCATACGATGGTGTGAAAGTCACATGATACATGTAACTGCAACTCAACACGGTGGGCTCAAGGCCCCTTCCTACCCTTCTTAGCAGAGTCCATTGTACAATTCCAGGGCTCGCACGGACTTAAAAAACTTATTTGAGTGGCATTTTAGAAGTTGGGAAGTACAATATAGAACAAACTTTATGGATAACAACTTCTTTTTATTCGTGAGTGCGACGTTTCGATACAGATTCTTGTACCGTTGTCAAGCATAATGGAACATGACGAAGGGGGAAGTGTATATATACTGGATGTAACACTGTAACAAAGTAAACAACATAATTAACATAATTGGCTAGGCAGAAAGCTGACTAAGCCAGAGAGTAGACAAAGGACAGGCGTGGAAGCAATTCCGACAGCAAATCAGCCATTTCCGACCACATCAAAGCAAGCCCAAATCATCAAATAGAGTGGTCTGACATCACCATTCTCTCTAACAAACAAACAGACTTTACTAAACGCAAGCTCACCGAAGCCATCCACATCAAACGCCAAAAGCCCACCATCAACCGAGACCAAGGATACTTCATTCCATCCGCTTATGATGCTCTCATCCACCAAGCCCGATCTACTGTATAAACTCTGCTGTATAAACATCTCATTATTATTTGTACATCATTGGCTTCCACGCCTGTCCTTTGTCTACTCTCTGGTTTCATCAGCTTTCGGCCCAGCCAATTATGTTAATTATGTTGTTTTCTTTGTTACATTGTTACATCCAGTATATATACACTTCCCCCTTCTTCATCAGAATCTGTATCGAAACGTCGCACTCACGAATAAAAAGAAGTTGTTATCCATAAAGTTTGTTCTATATTGGACTTAAGAAAGCCTGAAATTTGGACATCTTACCTTTAAAAGGCTCTAATTTGTTTTAGCTTTGAAAAGCCCTAATTGCCAGTGACTTGCCCTAAACAGGCCCTATGTGTAGCAAAACTTGTCAACTTATGATTTTACCAGAAACTAATACATAATAAAAATACCTTTGACAAAATAATACCTTTAATACAAATGACAGTGGGTGTTAATTAACCTCTTTCTCTGATGGTCGGTCTCACATTATACATGTACCAACCTTATATGTATATATTAAGAACAATTTTGCCGGGACTCAACGAGTAGTCCTGATGGTGTCCTCCCAAAAGTTAAAACGCGTTAAAACAACAAAAGTTATGGTTGGTTGCACTGAGGTTCACTACACTGTTACCTTCGTTTATTAATGGACTAGTCCAAATAAAAAAATGTATGTGTGGCATAAAAACAAAATAAGATAATTTAACAGGATAATTTAAATGGTCAAGATTTAACATTTCACATCTATCACATCATTCACTATACAGGCAAGTATGTCAACCAAGCCTGAGCAAATGCCCAACTGCTTCGAGGAACTCCATGTTTGTCATCCCTCCTGCACGCTGTCTCTCTTGCAGACGCATCAGGCTGTGCTCAGTTTCTCAGTTTCCCTGTAGACCCTCTTCCTCTTCCACATCGCCAGTGAACAAACATATTTATTAAGTGAATAACGATGAACATATAAAGGTTAAAAATGAAGTTGATAAAAGCAACATCAGTTCAGCGTGTTTGGTGGTTAATTTTACATTTTGCATTTAGTGTTTGTTGAATTTAGTAGAGTGGATAATGTTTTCCTATTATTTGCCAGTTATAATTGAATGTTAACCCTACACCCTGAACTTTTTTTTATATTTTATATTGTTTATGTTGGAAAAACAATGTCAGGAATGAAGTAATGAAAACTCAAAAACATAAACAATCCTGTTTTTATCAAAGGGAAGGTTGTGAAAACAAGTATGCAAAATTTATAATCCTGTTATGATAAAATTGAACATTGTGAAAACACATTTGGAGAACCCAGTGATTGAGTAAGCAAGTCAACATCAGTATTCTCATCAAAGTATTTCTGTACAAATGCGAAAACCATCTCGTTAGTGTATGGGACAGGTTCATCTTATCAGTGGGTAAGACTAGGTTGTAATCACAGTCACGCCTGATTGATTCGTCTGACAACTGGGATGTCTGACTTTTTGGAACGTCTAACTTTTGGGAGTAAACCGTCCTGATTATGGAGAAAACCGGATTACACAGAGTCCGGATTAAAACTTATTTGAGTGGCATTTTAGAAGTTGGGAAGTACAATATAGAACAAACTTTATGGATAACAACTTCTTTTTATTCGTGAGTGCGACGTTTCGATACAGATTCTTGTACCGTTGTCAAGCATAATGGAACATGACGAAGGGGGAAGTGTATATATACTGGATGTAACACTGTAACAAAGTAAACAACATAATTAACATAATTGGCTAGGCAGAAAGCTGACTAAGCCAGAGAGTAGACAAAGGACAGGCGTGGAAGCAATTCCGACAGCAAATCAGCCATTTCCGACCACATCAAAGCAAGCCCAAATCATCAAATAGAGTGGTCTGACATCACCATTCTCTCTAACAAACAAACAGACTTTACTAAACGCAAGCTCACCGAAGCCATCCACATCAAACGCCAAAAGCCCACCATCAACCGAGACCAAGGATACTTCATTCCATCCGCTTATGATGCTCTCATCCACCAAGCCCGATCTACTGTATAAACTCTGCTGTATAAACATCTCATTATTATTTGTACATCATTGGCTTCCACGCCTGTCCTTTGTCTACTCTCTGGTTTCATCAGCTTTCGGCCCAGCCAATTATGTTAATTATGTTGTTTTCTTTGTTACATTGTTACATCCAGTATATATACACTTCCCTTCTTCATCATCAGAATCTGTATCGAAACGTCGCACTCACGAATAAAAGAAGTTGTTATCCATAAAGTTTGTTCTATATTGGACTTAAGAAAGCCTGAAATTTGGACATCTTACCTTTAAAAGGCTCTAATTTGTTTTAGCTTTGAAAAGCCCTAATTGCCAGTGACTTGCCCTAAACAGGCCCTATGTGTAGCAAAACTTGTCAACTTATGATTTTACCAGAAACTAATACATAATAAAATACCTTTGACAAAATAATACCTTTAATACAAATGACAGTGGGTGTTAATTAACCTCTTTCTCTGATGGTCGGTCTCACATTATACATGTACCAACCTTATATGTATATATTAAGAACAATTTTGCCGGGACTCAACGAGTAGTCCTGATGGTGTCCTCCCAAAAGTTAAAACGCGTTAAAACAACAAAAGTTATGGTTGGTTGCACTGAGGTTCACTACACTGTTACCTTCGTTTATTAATGGACTAGTCCAAATAAAAAAATGTATGTGTGGCATAAAAACAAAATAAGATAATTTAACAGGATAATTTAAATGGTCAAGATTTAACATTTCACATCTATCACATCATTCACTATACAGGCAAGTATGTCAACCAAGCCTGAGCAAATGCCCAACTGCTTCGAGGAACTCCATGTTTGTCATCCCTCCTGCACGCTGTCTCTCTTGCAGACGCATCAGGCTGTGCTCAGTTTCTCAGTTTCCCTGTAGACCCTCTTCCTCTTCCACATCGCCAGTGAACAAACATATTTATTAAGTGAATAACGATGAACATATAAAAGGTTAAAAAATGAAGTTGATAAAAAGCAACATCAGTTCAGCGTGTTTGGTGGTTAATTTTTACATTTTGCATTTAGTGTTTGTTGAATTTAGTAGAGTGGATAATGTTTTCCTATTATTTGCCAGTTATAATTGAATGTTAACCCTACACCCTGAACTTTTTTTTATATTTTATATTGTTTATGTTGGAAAAACAATGTCAGGAATGAAGTAATGAAAACTCAAAAACATAAACAATCCTGTTTTTATCAAAGGGAAGGTTGTGAAAACAAGTATGCAAAATTTATAATCCTGTTATGATAAAATTGAACATTGTGAAAACACATTTGGAGAACCCAGTGATTGAGTAAGCAAGTCAACATCAGTATTCTCATCAAAGTATTTCTGTACAAATGCGAAAACCATCTCGTTAGTGTATGGGACAGGTTCATCTTATCAGTGGGTAAGACTAGGTTGTAATCACAGTCACGCCTGATTGATTCGTCTGACAACTGGGATGTCTGACTTTTGGAACGTCTAACTTTTGGGAGTAAACCGTCCTGATTATGGAGAAAACCGGATTACACAGAGTCCGGATTTGACAGATTCCACTGTACCAACCTTTTGTGTATTCAACTACTTATGTGTTATTTGTGTTTCTATATTTCTTTGAAATTGGTGATTGGACTTTGAAAAGCCTCTAAAGGACCTTAAATGTAATGGCGGATAGGAGTATCCCCACATCATCTAATATTCCTGCCTAACCTTCTCCCACATCACCTAATTAGCAGAGAGCCCAGAACGCCTGATATCTGTAACCACTGAACCGTGGCGTCTGGCCGGAGCAGGCTATGTTTCCAAGTGAGGGTGTCCTTCTCCCCGTTCTCTATTAATTCAGCCTTAAATTCATGGATCATTTCAAATGTTGAATCAATTCTAAAAGAGCAATTTGTACAATCATGGACTAGCGATATGCAAAATTCCTCTGAAGGAATATATTATAAAGTTCTGAAGCGCTCTCCCAAAGTTGAACAATACCTACTTCTCTCAGATGATATTTCTAAACTTAAAACTTCTGTAACCATAAACTTCTCACAGAAACTGGGAGATGGCAAAATACCCCCCCAAAACACAGATTTTGTAACTTATGTGATTCACATTTGATTGGAGATGAGTTTCACTATTTATTTAAATGTAACTATTTTGCAGACACGCATAAATCGTTGTTAAAAGAACCTTATAGTTCCTGACAAAATTT